TCGTGATCCTCGTGTGAAATATAATAATAATAATCTCCCATTTGATTTTAAAAATAGTGTGCTGGGATGAATCAATAAGTTGATGAGACAATCCTAACTCTCTACCTACCATGATGAACATCTTATCAAATTTGTGGTCTTTGTCCCTTCGGTCGTTCAACTTCTACACCAGCATTACACTCTAGAGATCAGTGGTATCAGTGTCCGGTTCCAGCTGTTTGTTTCTGAGTCTATTCGAATACTTTGGTTGTATACAATTATCCCCTGAATGTGGATGAATGGGCTCCATGGCTATATCTGACAGCGGCTATCCAGGTGGAGGCTACACCAGTCATTCGTTTGTAGTCATACAAAAACGAATGCTGTTCACTGGTTGTCTTGTTTGAATGTGAATGTTGCATCACCGCCAGTAACTAAAAATGTGTCATTCATCGCAGAATTGTAGTATCCGATTAATTTTGAGAAACTAGATGATGTATAAATAAATGTTGACGAAGAACTTCACGACGAATTAGAAACACCCATGTGAACATGTTATCGGTATACCGTTTCACTGCTGTATCTACTCCAGTTTTGTATGTGTGTCGATTGAGCGTGTTATCATATATAATTTTTCAGCTTACCATTTGCGCTGATGTTGGCAGAGCTTGGGAAAGACAATTGGCGACTAAATCATGATGCGAATTGACGTTATGGAAGCCCTGTTTAATAAAGGCAAAATTAGGCCTCTGGTTACGGGCCTCAAAATTTGTTCTGTCGACGGTCAGAGATATGAGGTAGCATAATTATTGCAGTAAACAGTATTACTCATACGCTTACTCAATTTCTAGTTTCACCACGTGCTACATCTTAATCTTACTAGCTATTTTTCAGTTTTTCTTATTGACTTAATTATTCTTTGCTGGATCAAAAATGAGCCAAAATCTAATAAGTGATGAAGGTCTTTAATGTTTGTTTCGTTTTATGCTGCTAAGCATTTTTCATACTTGTTTGTGTACTCTTAATTTATTAAAAGATCCCATTTCCTTCGAAGGCAAACGGGATCGTATTATATCCGTATAGAGGTGGTTCTGTGGATTGAAGCCCTTGCATCTGAGGATATCCTGTTCACTGATTTCCCGTGTTGAGGCCATTCTCAATAAATTGAGGCCGGGATGAATTAATATCCTGGGTCGTAACCGGGTTAATAAGCTGCGATCAACTAATTCATGCAAGGAAGGTGAAAAACTCTGATTTCAAATTTCCCGAGAAGAACCGTTCGTCCAAATGATCACCACTCGCATTAGAAGTTGTGGTTTATTGGACACGCCGGACGTCTAAACCATATTTCAGGGACGTGAGATCCGACGAACTAATCACCGATTCCCAATAGACTGTGGTTTTCATGAACCATCCCCGGTACCCGGTGGGAAGATTTTGCTTAGGAATCCTTAAGGAAATCATCTTCTTCGAATTCAGAAACCTGATAAATGGATTGATTTAGTCGTTATAGAAATGCTTTGTTGGACAATCTAGACTTGGGCAAGTGTGAATTATAATAATGACAGCCATCTGATAGTTACTTCTTGAACGTAAAATGCCAACGTACATTTCTATTTTACTATCCGGGTTTGATATCGTCCATGGGATGTTATGGGCATCTGAATGTTGAAATGGCCTCTGAATTTATCCCACCATACATTTGATAGCTTTCAGACAATCTAAAGACATAATTAAAAGCAATCAAGTTTACCAGTTCACGGTTTTCATCCATCACTGGTTTATTCACCGTTCGATGTGTAAGTCACTGTAGTCTGTTATTCCAGTTTTTTCTTTTTCTGTTATCATCTAAAAGCAGCTGCTTTCGTGAGCTACAAACGTACACGTCTTGGTATTTTTTTAACTGAATTCCCTCCTCCGCCTTTTGCAAACATCCATTCGGCCGCATATTAAATTCTCCATATAGATCCGTATCCGTGATTTCAATGCAACCTTAAGACCTGAAAACGACCTCAAGGGACAGCAAACAGAACGTTTATGGTATCTTGAATGAACGCAAACTTTGATGACCATATCAGCACGAATACAGCCAACTCTGAAATAACATAACGTTTTCATACTATCATCAAGTCGTGTAAGTAGTCCGCTCCAAGCAGCATCTACCAATGTTTTTCTCAGCGGATAAGCATAATGATCAAGCCATATAGACGACCATTAGGACTTTTGAATTAACTCGGGGAGCTTATAAACCACCTACTTTTGGTAAGTGGAGAGAATAGCAGGATTTATGACTGAGTCACTGTCACTGTTTTTTTCAAAATAGTGATGGTCATCTTCTGTTTACTTAAACCTCGTCAGTTTTATCATAATATTTTTTCACAAAATTCGTCTTACTTGCCACCGTACAACAGACTCCGCATTCTCAACAGTAGTTTCATGTCAATGCAGTATTCCCTGAGGATTGGTGGAACATACCAGGTACTTTCACAGTTGTTATCTTACTCAATTCCGCCCTTTTAGGTAGGAGAACGTCTCGGTCGTTTGGCCCTGGAAAAACAACAGGCAGTCGAGGATGAGAACTATGAGCGGGCAAAATTGAAAAAGTTCCAGATAACTGAACTTCGCACGAACCTGTACAAAGATTTGGATTTAATCAATTTGCTCTCTGAGAGTGCCCCATTCGTGGAAAGTGTTCAACCGAGTGGGGACTGTATTATGCCACCGTTTCCCGAAGAATCAGTGAGTTCAAATAATTACACGTCTATTACAAGATCAAGATATGACATTATCATTCAATGTTTTATTCGTTTGAAATATTTCTAGCAGTTCCTAACAGTTGGTCATTCATTCATTGACGTATGTGCATTTGCGTTTTTGCTCGATCGAAAACTGCGCTGAGATAGTTGTGTATGACTAAGGCGCATGGACTTTTCTCTTCGAGAACGCATTTCTGGCCATTGCGCATTCGCCTGCTACCTGTAGGGTGACGGGTTGATCATGATGACCTTATTTATTGACTGAACCGATCCGCGCGCGTCGCGATGAATTTTAAGGATATTTTAAGTTTTCTGTTGCAGATTGGTCTCTAGCCATGCAAAAACACCGTGTTCTCAAGTCATCTTCGGTGGTCTTTCACAACTGCTTACTCAGTGAAGCAATAATACCCCTCTATTTTCAATTCACCATCTGATCGACCGTTCTACGTTCGGTGACCCGAAAACGCTCTTGGTAGCGTTCTGCTCCTGTGCACTTTCTCTGGCGGTAGTCTTCGCGAAAACAACTTGAATTTATCAAGCATTGACTTGCATATTGTTATCTGGTTTATCACAAATTCTTTTTCCATTGTAGTACATGAGATTCATTCAAGGCAATTTCCTAAGCCGGCTAAACCGCATGCAAAAGAGAGATTCTCGTAGCAATTTCAAGGCTAGATCATTACAGGAGTTTGTCTCTTTAGTTTCATTAGAACTTTATTAGTCCGGTTAGATTCGTGCAGAAATCATTGATTGAACTATGATTGCTCTCTTCTTGTTTTGTGTTTTAGCTCGAGACAAAACAAAAGCGTAAGTTCATCAAATTTCGATTGATAACAACCTACTTGTTCTGAATAAGTAGTCAAATGCTATATATTGTTTATTTGATGAGTGGATCAGCAGTGATCCGTTCCTAGCACTGTTTTAAATCGTCAAAATCGCAGTTTTTCTTTTCCTTTCCGATGGATCTCGTCATTTTTCACTTATATGTATGAGATATTTGTGATGAAAATATGCTTCCTGGGCACATCTATTGAATGAACTGGCCAAAGTCTACGGGTTACACATGCCTGACGAGCAGTACGAACCACGAGGCCGTCCGTGTGCTTCCAGGAAATTTTGTAGTCATTCGTCTACTACTACGCGCTGCAAAATATTCTATAAAAGCGATTTAGCCACGTTTGTTGCGGTTAGTAGCATCTAACCCACCTACAAAACGTCGAATCATAGTATTACTTCATTAGTGGACTGGTTCTGAAAGTGTTTATATATAGACCACTCACCAAGACAAGTGAGCATTAGTGTGAGGCTTCAGAAACATTTGTCACTGTATATTCACATTTTTCCTCTGATGCCGTCTAACCTCTTTGATTTCCATCACATGTAGGCGAGTTCTGTTCCACTTTTCACAGCGTGAGCGAAGCAGTTAATCCGATCAGCGAATTTGACATAAACCCCGTCATCATTATACTATCCAGCATACATTCAAAACGGGATGCTTTGTTTTTACTCGTTTTTCTTCCACGAATACCTTACGCTATACTGTTATGTGTTAGTGCTATTGTGTGTTGCGATAACGATGATCACAATGAAAACGGACATATATCTCTTATATTCCACACACATGTCTGCGTCCACACTGGTCAGAATTATAAACATAGCAGAAGTGACTGTGGTGCCTATGGAGCTTACTGTTCTGCTGGTTTATTCAGGTTTCTAAGAGTCATCAGTTTGGGAAAATTTGACGAATCTACTGAAACGGTGGGTTCCCTCAAGAGGAGAAATGTAAAACAAACGGTATATTCTCAGATTTGATGTGGTTCGTTCTATTGACTACCATGCTTGTGATCTTTTAGAATTGATCTGTCAATTGCTGTCAACGTTGTTCCCTCTCGTCAGTTGTTCGCCCGGACCCAATTCGACTACAAGCACTTGCTGAGTTATCCATTCAGAGCTCCCTTATTCAGTCTACCACAGAAACCAATCATCGACGGTCTCCATCTCCTAATAGGCGTCATTCGAGTTCTCCTAGTCGACGCGGTACGTTGCATCTGGTTGATCCAGACGAACGTCCATTACCTGCACTGTGTCGTTCGAACGTGAATCATTCACGTTCCGCTGTGTCGAAGGCAAGACCGCTGGAGCCAGATGATGATAAAACTTCATCTGACCCGACCTCTGTCGTATCATTTAATCCCGTACAACCTTATTCGGCGAATGCGGCCGATCGTTCCGTTCCGGTTCAACCGGCTGGTCATGTCCTAACTCCTATTGGGGACGAGGCAACTGAGGCGTTTGAATCGGAAGAGTGGGAAGATGATGAAAATCAACCGGAGGATGGAGACCAAGTGTTTGGGCATACTGAACCGACGGATTCAATCCATACAGGACAAACAAACCAACCGGAACCGTTGAGCGAGTCCAATCGACGTCAAGCCAGTGTGGCTATCGATGTGTTTGGTTTAGATCTGGTTAGTCCATGTTTTAATTCGCACTCTGTCTGTTTTACTACAACTTATTCCCCAATTACGTTAGAGTATCTTTGTACAGTTGGCTAAGTCTTCGTCAATCTAATAGGGTCACTTATTATTTTCTCGCCGGTTTGGTAACGGCATTCTCACTAACTTTTGGAATGAACACCAGCGGTCACCACTTCATTGAATCCTTCGATTGAACCGGCGAGTCTAGGTAGATACAAGCGCAAGAATTTCGAAGTGTCGAATCGGGCCTTGAGAGCAAGTGAATGTTTCACATTACTATCAGTGAGTGCATTTTTGAAGGGTTTCTTAATTTTTTTGATATTGAGAAATACAATGAATTCAATCGCCATCTTCATTCATGAGAATATATATACACGAGACACGCGCAATGCTTTGAAAAATCGGGTTAAATACAGAAAGTTTTGTGGCATCTTCAGTCCGGAGAGACCCAACAATATCACAGCGATGTACAAATTTCCCTTATTATATAGTCCAGAAGTGTCGCAGGTTAGTAAACGCTAGTTTAGCTTTAAACATTCATACTGTGATCTCCTCCCCACCCTCACCTCATACTGTGTGATCAAGTTTCCAATATGTTTGAAGCTTTCAGGTACGAGTAATTCGGATTCGGTTTGCACGAAGCCGCACTTTTCACTAGACAGAACAAAGCATTTTGTACATTATCTATAATAAAGTTAAAACGGAATAGGGATAATTACCCATCCTTGTTGTACTCTACTAAACATAGCGAAAGCTCGCCGTAGACCCTAACGCCAACTGGGGTTCGAAGGCACGGCTTTTTATGAACCGTCTTTTGTTCCTAGGGTGTTTTTTTCTCAGAAAGCAGTTCCCTGCTGCAATCCCATCAACGCAATCGAAAGCCGCGTGAAATTTTGTTGTCTTTGGTCTTCGGTAAGCTAGATAAAGCTTTAGCAGCTGTCGGAGGCCCTGTTCTTCAAGGATGTTATACAGTCTTCGAAGAATGACGAACACTCACAGTTTTGATGCTATTCGGCTTAGGTTACAATCGTCGTAGTTGGTACAATTCCTGTACTGTCTTTTAATAAAATCGAGGAAAAGAATCGATTGCCTCTACAAGGGAGGAACGGGCTTATTCAGTGTTCCAAACATTAAAGGCAGAACAGTTCTATAACGAGTTTTGTTCTCCTTTCTTTAAAAAAACGCTGTTGTTAGGCCATCAGAGTCTGGCGCTTTCTGCGATTCTACATTCTCACCGAATTGCATCACCTCTGCGAATTTCACCACATTCTGTAGTAATATCTTTGTTTTGACAGTATTTGATTTTTTCTCACTCATCGATAGGCTTAGAGGCATTATGGAGGGCGAATCATCTCTTTTTAATATCAATCAAGTCCCGAATGTAAAATCACGGTTGAACTCCATTCAGACCAAAGATTTAATATCAGTGTTCCATGCAGTATGTATTCCGTTCGAGTCACATGTGTTGGGACACTTGAGGCCATCTAAAAAGATGCTCAGAACCCGTTTATTCTTTAAATGACAGCGATTGGGAGGATTTCAGTGTGGGATATGCTTGGTGTGAGACGTAACCCCGAACCCGGCAGTGATCGAGAAATATATGTTGTTTACCTATTACTTGCAATTGGTGCATTCATGCTCAGTCAATGCTGCCTTGATTTCCTGCTTATTGCTATCATGTTGATCATGGCATTCTTACCGAAGCACTATTTATAAATTTTGCTATTCCAGATAAACGTCAGGAAGTGTTGTGTATTGTCATTCTAATCTATTTTATGTTCTCACAGTCGTAAATGATTGAAGCAACGTGACACACAATTACAATTGGATCTTGTCCATGCTATTTACCTTGACTAGGTTACTATGGCTCTGAGCAAGCTTTGGACTTTTCGGGAAAAATCTTTGCTCGAAATCGAGAAACGTGTAACTGCTTCGCGGCTGCCACCGCCAGCTTCCTTGCCAGATACAGCAGAGCCCGATCCGCGGGCTGAATTGCGTGCGACTACTTTCATCCTGAAACGAGCCCTGGATGATCCTGTGAGTGTCAGCATAAAAGGCTGCTTATTTAAATATATGTTACTTTGTTGTGTGCTCCATCTCAAGCCCAATTCGTTTTTTAAAGTTTATTTTTTCCCAAATGCACTACATTTGCCCATAAACGATCAAAAACAAATGAAGGAATACACTGGCAAATGAAATCCCAGGATAGTTGGAAAAGTTCTTTGGGAACAATTGAACTGTTTATTCCAAGGCTGTGGAACTCGACTTTTGGTGGCCAAGAAATGTCACGCTCAGATTGTAAGTCACCCCTAGGATTCGTCGAGAATCATTAAGCTCCCGAATCATCTAGTTGAGATATGCGCATGGTCAAACGAAACTAGGCGATAGCAGAAAATCGGATTCAATCTAAAAGTGCGGTTTTAGTACAGGTGAAAGTAGCTACGAAATCAAAGGTCAAAAGATTGTAACTCATCTGTATGATTACCAATAGTGAGTGGATTTGTGAGGAGCCCATCGGGGACTAAGGCGGGACAGGTGGTACACGGAGTGCTTAGTCGACCCTGAACCGGTCACGAAATAACCGGGTGATGGAAACAAGTTAGCTAAAGACACCCAGCCATATTGTAACGAGAAGGCGAGCTGGCTGGGAAAACGTCTATTGATCCAATTCAAAAACAAACAGTGTCTACGTTCGATTATATACAGTCAATTCTGAACCGCGCGGCGGAATGATTCATGCCTCTTTCTGTGGATTATTCGTTGTTGGTCTTGGTCCGCACTTGGCACGTACGTTGGCTTTTCTTCCGCGTGCCATTCCGACTGGTTTGACCCGATCGCGGCGCGAGATGCGTTGATCGACAGCTCCGACGTTGTGGCATTCGGTGGGTATCTTTCCCGTTAGCTGCGGATTGTCTTTCG